TATTAGTAACTGTAAATTGTTAGTTAACTGTTAAAAGACAGCTAACTGACAAATTAAATGTGAAAAATATTTATATAACTATATAATTTTTGATTGAAAAATTATCCCAGCTCTTATACTCGTAGTCTTAAAAGCAAAGAACAAGGTGAGGGTAAAGTAATAAAGGCGATTTTGATTTATCTAAAACATATCTTGTCTTCTGAAGTCCAGCCAATAAACGTTACATTAAGAATTTGAACAAAGTAAAGAAAGAAAGAAAGAAGAAAAGTATTTACTTTACTATAATTAAAAGCCGTACGTAATTTTATCAACAGATTATTTACAATTAAAAATTTAGTCAATATTTAATGTTATTTCTGAACAGGAGTTGACTTTTATTAAACTAATTGACTCGTTTTTTCTACGTTCTTAATGAATAAAACTTTCCAACTTGCTGTACAATTCCGTTTTATATCAAATGCTTGTTAAAACAAAACGATACTTGTTTTTATTGCAGCAGAGGCCAAAGTTAGAGGAACTTTAGCTCCTAAAAAGTCCTCAGACGATTGACACGGCAATTACTGCGCTCCGAGTGCTCAAAGTGCAGGAGTTTTGTTAACTTCCCCAATGAATGTATAGTTAATTTTACGGTACTGCTACAAAGTTATATAACATTTACTTGAAATGATTTTAAAGGTAACTGAGTTAAGTTAAAGTGAAGAAATGTCTTGTATTCTGTTAATCGTTTTTCAATACTGTTAGATAAAGTTGTTTTTGCATCTTTTATTTAATCAATTAATCTTTAATTTTATTGAGTTTATTGTTCGTTATTTTATGCATCTCTTTTCGATTAATGTATAATTTTGGATGATAACTCCACTGTTTTCTCAAATCTGACACATTTCTAAAGAAAGTTTTATATAATTTTGCATAACTGTTTTAATTTTTCATTGATAATAGATTTTATTTAGCAAACACAATAATAATTTGTATTGAACTCTACTTAAATTCCTTGATTAAATTACAATTAAAAGTGGAATATAAAACATTTGCATCCTCACCGTTTTAGTAACGACCTGTAACAAAATTTTAACGATTCCTAAAATTAAAATTAGATCGAATCAACTTCGAACATCTTTTAAATCTGTTACATTTATATAGGTCGTTAATTACCGAGATGTGGTCTGTTCGTATCCCATGTAGGCCAGGAGTAGCACGACCGACCCTCTCCCCGCTTTCGCCCTCCCCCTTCGTCTTTGGACCCTGCGCTGTACTCTGCCACGTTTCTCCGATCCGGGCCATTGCACGATTCATCCGAAGTAGTTTCACTAGAATACACGATCGTCCGTCGCTGTCGTCTCGTTACGTTAGAAAACTTTTATCGACTCTCCCGTTCAACGGTGTCAGACATGAAATTCTTTTCTTTTTTTTACTTTTGCTTTACAATACATGCGATTTTTTAATCCAGTGAAAGTGATGCCATGTCAGACTTTTACATGTTCATATTGGTTAAGATTTTGAAATGATGAAACATGTAAACTTAGTCGTTATTAAAAATATATGATATGTTGTATCGTTTTAATTTAGATATTAAATTTAATTAATAAACATTGATTTCATCAGGGGTTTGAAAACAAAACGTTCTTTTTAATTAAGTTTTCATTTGAAAAGATAAAAAACTAAGTTTATTTCGCTATGATTTCAATCCACAGTCGTTAGGGAATTAATTATCTTATACCTGTTGCAAATCCGTTTCAAATCTGCGAGTTTGCAGGCACACGTTTGCTCAACGCTTTAGCCAGAATTGGAGAACCGTAAGCCGTAATAGCTTTAACATACCTTTGTCCACTTTCCCCACTGACCTATCACGAGTCACTTTGCAATTGCAGTGGCCATACAAAACTGATTAGCTATTTATCCAGTGATTCTCTAACACCTTGGTATTTATATTATTAAACGGGAAATGCTCCCTATTGCTAGCTTTGTACTATAACTATTTATTACCTGCGGCTTTGCACGCTTAGTCGTTAAAATAAGTTTTGTGAAATTGATAGGTTTCCAGTGTCTGTACACTCGTTCCTGTTTCCTATAATAATGGATTTAATTTCGATACGATTCATCGTTTTTTAGGTTTTAAAATAACCAGAAAAAACAACCTTTCGCTATTATGTTATCCCTGAGTTTCTGAGTTTGAAATCTGCGTTTATAATGTATCGTCATCTCTGTCATTATCTTTGGCGAAACTGAGATAACAATATGTTTTAAAAGGATATTTTGGTCTCAGAAACTGACGGTAATAATGGGTGGTTGTCACTTAACTACGCAACTGATATTTACAATTATTTTACGATTAGAAAGCTTTATTAATCAGAAATAATAAACATTACTTTCTTATACACCTGTAGTCTACGCATCGCATAAACAAACCTAAACAAAAACTTTAAACTAAAATAAGTAGTTGGTTTAATCTTTAGTGATAGGTTTTCAATTTAATTACTTGCATTCAACAACTTAACATTTCTTAATTGCGACCTTCACTTTAAAATGTAAAGATAAAATGTCTATTTGAATAAGATAGTGTACCGGTTTGGAGCATTCGATGAAGCGAACAAAATGCGTTGTACAACTGAACGTTTTTTACTATACGATTGAGAAAGACGCAAGCTACGCTTCCTCTATTGGACTTTCACCGAGTCAAAGCGCCATTGACATACATCGCATTGTTTTACACTTTGTCTTACACACGTACACATTTACATTTGAACAATAAAAATAACAAATTTTTTTCGCTGTCTTATTATAGATACTGGTTGATTCTGTTGACTGATACACATATTTTTTTAAATTCCTTTCAATAGGAATAACTTGTGTTGATTTTTGCCTAATCTTATTAACATTATATAATGCGAATTTTTGAATGGATAGATAGATTTTAGTAGGTATCTTCAGAACTTGATCACGCTGAAACTTGGCATCAGTAGCCTGTGTTCTTAAAAGTTATGTTAACTTTGAAGAACACAAGCTACTAAGTTTTACTTTAAAGTCGAGCGGACGACGTCGCATGCGACAACTAGTGCATAAATAAATACATGGTCGGGAAAGGTCCAGACTATTTTTACTAAATATAACATTATAGAAAACGTTGGTATATCGTATATTTTAAAAATACCGTCGCAGGAAGGTCTTATTTATAATTATTTTAAAGGTCGCTTGCCGTTCTGTGTTCAATGTAGTGATTTTTAGAATTTTAATTTCATCTCATGTTCAGTTTTTAATTAAAATATGTTCAATTTAACCTTGAGTTTGCGCAATTTATAATTGCTTACAGGCATTACTTTTTTATTCGATTCAAGACCGTAAACGTCGTGATTTCGTGACGAGATAAAACCACTAATCTTGTTTCACATTGTTGATTAACAAAGCATCTGCAATTCTTCAAATGTTCAGTTGTTGGATTCGATAAATATTAAGCAAGGTAAGTTTTGTACAGTTGAAAAATATGTTTTTCTTTAAAGAAATTATTATTATGAACCACACACCTTACGTTATACCTTTAACAAGATCAATTGTTAAATAAGCTGTAAGTAAAATTGATTTTATGGAAATGCTCACAAATCTGTCATGTCAACATATTTAATCCAATAAAGGGTATTATATCATCAACTCAATTAGGGTTGCTGTTAAAAACCTAGTTGTTATTGTGGTTAAGGATTGTTTTTAGTATAGAATGATAATTCATAGGAAATAAAGTTTCACAAAAAAATTCTTCTAAGGCAGTCTTTCCCAAAGTTGACGATAACGCGTGGCGCTGCAGGTTTCCCGTTGCGGGTTATAGTAAAAGTTTCGTTTAGAATTCTCCGTTAATATACAAATATAGGTCACAATAATTAATTAATTTCATATGATGTTATAGTGGTTTTTAAACATGTGAAAATATGCGCGCTAAAAAATATTTATTTTCAAAGTGGGCAGTAGACAAAATAAATTTGGGATCCACTGCTCTAAGTTATAGATTCTCTACGTAAAATTTTTGTTTTGTGTCGATAACTCGATATAGAGTAAAAACATTATGATATTTGATAGTTAGGGATTACACATCATTTATTTCAGAATAATAAGAGTATTTTAAAAGGTTCATTCATTCGTAAATAATTTAAACAGAGAATACAAACGCTTGAATGTCAAAATGTACAAAACATTCGGCTTCAAGGGTTGATGACAAATCGCATTTAGGTAACCACTGACAATAAATTTTCCGCTACAATTACTTAATACTACAATAAGTAATTATTAAGTTAACGTATCATTACTTTCTCTAATTAAATATAAATGCTTTTCACACGGAGCGCATATTATAGAGTAGTTAAAAGTCGCCTTTCTCACTTCGCGTCTGTCGCCCTGTGAGCATCCGGCGCTGCCGTCTCAATAATCTCACGCTACTTGACACCCTTGTGCGGTCTGGACGGGCTCATTACATCGCAACATGAGCTTACGTCTACACACACAGAAGCTAGCATGTAGGGAACTAAATGTGTGTGGCGACTCACATACGGCATGCATACGCGTGCTTTTGTCATGTTGGACAACTGTCGAAGCTGCGGTTATCCGGTTCGTAGATTTCGACAAATTGCCTTCGACAGTGTCACGGAAGGCGAGTTCTTTTGAGGCATTGTGTAAACGTGATTACAGGGTACAAAAGCAATTCAACAAGCACCCTAAAGGTTCTCTACTGTAATGTTAAAATTATATTATTATTAAATCGTAATCCTTGGGCTCATTACGATTAACGTAAGTTTGCACAGAGAACTTATCAACGTCTTAATAGACCATCTTATTATAACTATGGATTACTTACTTACTTATTATTGCAATGAAATGTACCGTGTTACTGCGAGCTAGTAATTGCTACACGTATTGTGATTGTTTTGCGCTACGCAGCAATACATTTAGCAGATCTGGACACACCCTTAGAAAAACCTTATGTTATTATTAGAGTATAATGTATGTGTATATTGTTTCAGTCAACGCAGCCGCTCATATGACTCTGACGAGAACGAGCGGGGCGCATGCGAATGGTGCGAGTATGCGCTGGTCATCACGCTCGCCACCATTCTGCTCATCGGCGTTTCCGCCCTCACCGTCTTCTGGGTCTTCTTCTACCGAGAGGGCTACGCCTGGGCCGATGACATCCCGGAGAAGCAGTTCAACCTTCATCCCACCTTGATGGTTGCCGGCTTCATCACTTTTAGCGGTTTCTGTAAGTAACAGCTTAATAATAATTTATAACTGTTCCAGTTCATAGTATTTAGTTGACGAAATTGATAGTTTTAATGCATAAACAATCCACAAAGTGTCTCTCAACAATAATGAAAGTTAAAAAACATTGTCCAGAATGCCATAGCATAGCCATGATTAAGATTTCTTTCAACAAAATGTTGTCTATAAAATGAAACAATTAAGCTAAGAAGAAAGAGTCTTATTCTGTAGTCTTTCTCTTGATTCTGGGGTCTGGGGTCTCGTGTACTAAGAACCTGTAAGATGTGTTAAAACTGACATATTCATAAGTTAACGTATTATTAATTGTATGTTCGCAGCGGTGCTGTTGTACCGCATCTGTCGCTGCTTCCGGCGCATCTACGTGAAGTTGCTGCACGCAATTTTCCACGCGCTCGCTTTCCCCTGCATCGTGATAGGCTTCCTCGCTGTCCTCGACTACCACAACAAGAAGGGAATCAACAACTTCTACTCTCTGCACAGCTGGATCGGCCTCGTCGCCATGGGACTGTTTGGACTTCAGGTAAGACAGAAAAAAATATCGAAAACAACCGCAAGATTTAAAAAAATAGCCCAGTTTTATGTTACTTATAATTATATATAATTTAATTTTTAGGAATTTTATCTCAGAATTTGCGATTCTTTTGGATTGCGTTGCTCAATTGTAAAGTAACTTTATTATGTTGTTAAAATTATTGGTTTATTATCATTTATTAAATACAACATTTATCTTAAACTGAAGGTGCCCAATGTGTTTCCAGTATGCAGTCGGCTTCTTCAGTTTCCTTTTGCTGTTGATCTGCAACAAGGGCACCGCCGGCTTCCGCGCCTCTCTAGTGCCGGTCCACGCTGCCTTCGGTGTCCTTACCTTTGTCCTCGGCGTCGCTGCTTGCCTCACCGGTTTAACTGAAAAGGCAATCTTCACCCTTGGGTATGTACACACCGCGAATTTATTTAAAAGCATTAGGCTTAGTATTAGAGTTTATAGTCCATTAATATCATTCCGTATTGCATCATATGAATGTTGAATGGGAATGTTTTGCATGTTCATTTTTCTGCAAATTATGTTTAGTTGTGTCATAACAAGAACTTCGGAATTTAATTAGATGGCTTTTTATGTTTCTTTTTGACAAATATCGACTTCTTTTGTTCACTTGTTTCAACATTATCGCAGACACAGTTAAGGTTAATGAACTAGAATCCAATTGTTACAATATTTCGCTCTTTCATTTGTGACCCGCATATTTAAAAATTTGTCGATGAAATTTATTTGTTCTTTGAACCTAAACTATCTATAACCTTTTTTATGTGTTGCCACATTTTTAATTTGTCATTTTCACCTTATACATGTGTTGTCTGTCATTGTGCGTGTTGCTTGAATGTGTGCGTATCCACAGCGCGGAGAGGTACAGTGGGCTGCCAGACGAAGGAGTCATCATCAATGCAATCGGAGTTGCCTCAATCGCCATCCTAGCAGTGGTCATGTACATTCTATCGAGGGACAAGTTCCGAACAGCAGCATCCCGCGAACACATAAGAGCTTCAGTAGACCTTTAGAACCATAGACTGACCATACTAAGACCATAGACAGACTATAGTCGCCATGTTGCCAGAATCAGTTGCGCACGAACATCATAATTCATACAGATTACATACAAGTGTCAATTTTACTAAGATCTTTCAGCGTGTTGCTATTTTTAAATAGTAATTTAATTATACATCGCTGATTAGTATTAGTAGTTTTGTTTTTACGTTAAGTTTATACGATAATCAAAATCTTGCAATTGCAAAACAACTTTTAATATTTTAATTTTACCTATAAATTCAAAGTAGCTTGGTACCTGACTGAAGTATAGAGCACATGTTATTTCAAAGTGTAGTTTCATTACGTATTCGTAAGAAGACAGTTAAATTAAGTTTTACTTTGTATTGTCAATATTTTCGAATACATATTTAGGTTATTTAACTTTTTACTTTATTAGGTTCTAGAAAGAACATTATTAAAACTTTGACAGTCAAGAGATATTTTATGAATGATAAGAATGTGTACAGAAAACTGAAAATAAAAGATATAATGAAGGAGGCTCATTAAAGGTTTGGTCTGTATCAGACCAAATCAGACCGTACATTTAATATATTTAAGGTGAAAAATTACATGAAAGAAAATAATTTAAGGCCATACATTCCATTATAGGAATAATATCTAAGATAAATATGTTTTGTTACATAAAAATAAAGTAATATTTAGTTATAATTTGACTTTTACTTTTTAATTAATTTCATATGCACGCATTTAACTGCATGTAGTTAAGACTACATTTACCTGCATGTATACTTGCTTTTTGTATATAATTATTTTTGTGTGTTTCCAGCTATTTATTACTTGTATCATTACATTACAAAAAACGTTATATAAATGCATATACAGGATATATAGGTTGTCCGAGAAAGACCTGTATAATGTACCACAGATTCCTTGGTCGAAAAACGCCGATTTGAGCAAACTTGTGTTGTTTTAACGCATTGTAAGTTGGGTCAAATAGGCATATTTTTGACCAAAGAATCAATAGTAATCCGTTGCACACGTTTTCCTGAACATCCTGTATATTCTGTAATATTTTTATCTGGGTGACGATATTGAGATTTGAAGCCAAGGGTATGTGTTATTCATTAACTAGGCCATCAGTTGTTTTGTCTCAAATATTTAATTACCCTAACAGACATTTCGACTGGCTTGATAAAACTGAGTTTGTTAAAGTCAATATTTAAATTAGTTATCTGTGACATGAATTGGTAATTTACTCAATTTCATTCTTAATTCACAGTTAATATAATATTTACTAAAACATTTTAAATGGTTTTGGTAGTTAATTATTTGGAAATACTAATATTTTAATCGCTTTATAAGTAAACATTGTTGAAATGATTCAGTTATATCTAAGCTTTTTAGCGCAGTTATAAACAAGGAGCTTATAATTGTATGGTCCCTTTAATTGCCAAATCGATTCATCTGCAAATAAATTGGCGTTAAAAAGTATGTAATCATTAAATTCAAATTATTGAAGATAACAAATACATTTTAATTTTAATTAATACACCTTAGTAAAGTAATTAAAGAGAGTTAATCAATTTGGCAATAGAAATAACTGTAAACAACTTGTAAATATTTAATTTTGGGGCATGCGGTGTACAGGAGCGACACGTACGCATCGATGTCGCAAGAGGCGATTGTGATAAACGCCATCGGCATGTCTGTGGTGGCGGTGGCTGTTCTGGTGCTGTACACCGTACGCGGCACTGGCGGCTACCGGCTGCGACCTGCAGCGCAACATCCCAGCTAAGCGTCCAGTCGCCTCACAACCGCAACACCGACGACCGATTAACGACTTTTTATTTGCATACATTCGAATTTCATACAATAGACTTCAAGTCAAGAGTGGTCAATATCTAGGCTTTCACCCTAATAGGGTGAATAAATTTATGCCAATCTTAGTTGCAGTGAATGTGTAGACTATATTGTATTCATGAGTAAAACAGCGAGCAATATTTATGGTTACATATCCATTAAAATTGAAAAAAAAATCGCACAACTTAAACACTGAATCAACTTGGTGTGTACAAATATTGTTTATGGCTTAAACATAGAGCCACTATTTTAATGAATTAGATATCTGGATCTCCCTAAGGCTATTTTCTCTACATTGTGGTGTTTAGGTCTATAGTAACTCTTGATTTGAAGTCTATTGTATGCTAAAATATTAAACGACTGTCTATACAAACAAAATGTTTGTTAACAAAATACTATGTTAATTTATGAATGTAAAATTGAAATACAATTGTTATATTTGAAAGTTCTATTTATATCCCATATTTTTTTGTGGATTCTCACTAATAATTTAGTTAATATTATGTTTTAATTCTAAACAATCAATATATTAAAAGTTAAAGCATTTAAAGATAACCAGTGTTATGGTTGCAACAATCAATGAATTTTGTACTATGCGTATTTGATAAAAATAGCAATTTTATTTGGCTAATACATCGAACAGAAATACAGTTCGGAAGATATAGTTTTCTTTTTAATATATGAACCGCGGTTGTGTGATAATTGAAAAGTTTTTTTTTAAATTATAATTACTGTGAGTTGAATCCGTCTAGCTAAATTATTGAGATTGGCATTATTCAATAATTTCTAAATTAAAACTTTTTCAGCACAATAATATATTTCTTAAATAATTTGTATCTAAAATGGTGTTGCCAGTTTTAAATGTTTATGAAAATTAAATTCAGCTAAAATTTATATTACATTTCGAGTCCATTCCAGTCATTGTTCCGTGATTGAAATTAAACGACATTGAATAGTTATCAAGAGTTGAGGAACAGAAAAATCTGGGAGAGGGACGTGCAACGATAAAATTAAACGTCATTAAATTGATATCCATTAAAGAATTCAGTTATCTTGAATATCTTCAAGTTTAAATTATACTCGAACAGAAAAATTCAGTTGCCGTGCGTATATGTAGGCACTGGTTTTTTGATGTCGACTAATGTAGTTTTCACTAATTAAGATATTTTAGAGTTAATTTGTATATAAATTTAGTTTAATGTGCGAGTGTTTGATAGATGTAGTTTGTGATTGATTTGTAGTAGACAACATTTGAATGTTTAACAATTACATATTGTATTTTAGACAATGTAAGTATTTGGCAATTGCCACACATTGCCATATGTTCATTATATTGTTGCCACATATTGTTCATATGAATTCATATGAACACTGTCACAACAGAGAAACACGAAACGAACATCGATAAAAATGCAATCGTGTTATAAAAGTGGTTTCTTATATTACGCTAATATTAATAAATAAAAACTAATTTTATAGATTTATTCGCCTTTAATTAATTAATTTAATTCTGATTTGAGTTAATATTAAAGGCGATAAATTTAAAATAAGTTTTTTTTTCAATTTTTAAATATAATCTGTATGTGTTCATGACAGTTGCCAAATTTGATAATAGTGATGTGGTAACATTTGTTATAATCAATTATTACTGTGTATTGGAGACACGTGTAGCATGTTTATCTAAAATAGGATAATACTCAATGTATTTATACGAGGGTACCTTTATATTATTTCCTTGTGTGATAAATTGAGTAATTTTTCTATTTATTATAATATAAATTGACTTTTGATTCCATTTTACAAAAGAAAATGCATTCCGAATAACTTACCCGTGGGCTTGTGACGAAGTTTTTGAACATATACAATCCATCTAAGACTGTATTAGGACGTAGCTCTAAATGTGGACTTACGACAGACCATAGTTTACAAACTTTTGTATCCCAATTGTTGATCCCTATCGGATATCGGGGCCAACTTACCATATACCAATTTGTACAACTGTCAAATAGTTCGCAGCTCATATGAAATTGGAATAGCAATTGACGTCATAATTTTATGCACCAAGAGATTTATTCCTGTACCTGTGTACTTTTAAGATATTTTGAAAGCATTGTACCCAGTGTAATATATGCATAGGATTATGAACGATAACAGACATTATTGTGTAATCATTTTTCGAAATTCGTTAATCAAGCAATTGAAATATAATTTCGCTATCATAGTTGAGTTGTTTAACAGTTGTATTGGTTATTATGAATTTTATCACTGTTTTACATTTTGAAATATTTATAGGTACAATCATAATGGTACATTAAAATACATGTATGAAATAAGTTGTTTCATTTTTTTTCCTTACCACATTTCCCATTTAATTATTAAAAACATATTACATAGATTTAAAGGAAACTCGGATAATAATGAAATATAGCTTTATTTTCGTAAATCACAACTATAATAAGACAATTTCTATATTTTAATAATTCAGACAATTCGAGCAATATAAACTATCATATTAATTGAAAAAACGTGCAACATTATTGATTTATTAATATAAAGTTTTGACTGGATACAATATTTAAGATGTACATTTAGAGGGGAGGCAAAACGGATATTTTGGGATTTACTCAAACAGTTAAATATAAATAATCTCTACATTGAACTCTCCGTAAATATCAATGCTTTTAACAAAGCCGGTCAGAATACAACCAAAAAAATCGTTTATTATAAATCCGCACGAGATAGTAAATAAATCGAGACAGGGTGACTTGCTCAGTTGCAAAGTTTCTCCCTTATGTTTAACTGCCATGCTTGAGTGAATCCAAAAATCAAAAACAAAAATCCAAGCTACCCCTCTCCTTCTAATAACATTAACTTTTGCAACGTTCTTCTATAGCTATATTAAAAATATGCTTGCTTTTAAAATATAATACGACTTATTACAAGATAAACCAGTTGTTTTTTTTATATCATAAGGTGGCAAACGAGCTAGCGGTCACCTGAAATCGCTGAAATAGCGAAGTGACCGTTGCCCATAGACATACGCAATTGCATATGCGTTGCCTACATTTACTCGACGGAGGAGAGGATGCATAGTAATAAAATATTTTCCCTTTCCATGCATCCTCTCATCCGGAAAGTCCACTTCCACTTCCCATCCTTTCCTTATAAGAAAAAGGATAGGAAGGGAAATTAGGCCTCCGGGACGCACACTTATCAGACGAAACGCGGAATTGCTTACACTTCACGCCTAGCTGTCTGTTTAATGTGTTTGCAATAAATGGCATAGACTAAAACTTAAAAAAAAGTATACAAAGAGATCAAGGTTCAAAGAAATATCAATTCCATACTTGGAACTAAAATCATGTGATCAAAACCTAACAAAAACTAGAAACAATTGCATTGAACGAATATTATATTGTTAACAATTCCATACAATATGTCTATGACTCATCAGTCTGCGAAATTTATTTACGGTTTTTATTAATAATATTTTTAACTGTCATTAATTAAGGTCAATCCTATTGAAATACGCCGGAAAAATTAATAACATGATACCTGAAAGCGACGACGTCACAACTAGTAGATAAATTTGGCTTTCAATTTGAGCATATTTTTTTGTAATTTATTTAATTCTGGAAATATGAAATACGATCCTTATTTATCAATTACTATATAATAAAAAAACCCACGTTAAAATTTACACAGACCTAATTACCGTGAGTTTCTGAGACCAAAAACGCCTTAAAAACATACCGTTATCTCCGTCTTGTCAAAGATAATCACAGGGATGATATATGTGTACGGAGAGTTAGGTCTCAGAAACCCACGGTTAGTGCTACTTAAAGTGTTTAATAAGAATTTTAAGTCAAAACATTATTAAAATGTTTGAATTATAATACCACATACTAAAATTATTATGGAACACGTTAGCTGCCATGTCGGACTATATGTCCGACAAACTAATGTTTCAATCAGGCCGTGTCGGGCTATGTGTCCGACAAGACATACTTCCATCCAACACCTCGCTGTAGCTTGTCGGATGCTTTTTAATGGAATTGTTGTATACAGCGTGACCTGCAAGGCCCCATAATGCTTATAAACAGCGGGTCTATTTTTTTAGTTTTTCGAAAAATCATTCTGGCAGCTAACGTGTTAAATATATAAATATTATTTATAATATATAGTATTGTAAGCTACAAGACAACTGTATAATATGATTTTAAGAATCTGCAAACACTTCAACATTGTATTAATAAGAATTATTTTATTTATTAAAACTTTAAGTGCAATAACATTGATAATAAATCTACAATTTATTCATTCCATTTTTTATATTAAAATAGCAAATTTGCATAAATAAATAATTGCTATGATGTATGCATATCATTGAAAATATTCTTAAAATATATAAAAACCTTTTAAGAATTATATCTAAAATAAAACTACAATATAATCTAGTTTCTTGTAGACTAGTAAAATATGACACTAAGTACTTAACCCCTTTAAGATACGTATTGTGAAGTTAAATTTTTCATATAAGAAATGGTGTTCAAAAACCATATCTCGTTTTAGTGTAAGTCCCAATTAATCGTAGGTTTCTAAGCCCATAATCCCCTATTTAAAACATATTGTTATCTTTGTCCTGTCAAATATAATGACAATAAAAAATAGAACAAGTCAATAATCTTAGAAAATGCAGAATTTTTAATATGATAAATGCATTTGGGCATATGCCTTAAAATTACAAATGTGCATTTTACAAGCTGTATATGCAGAGATAATGGTAGAAATAATCCAGAAAAAGATATATAATGATATTATTCATAAGATAATATAGGCCAAAATTATTTTTGTGCCTGATTAAAGCGCTATATAATTGACTATTCAATATACTATTAACATAATAGAACTTCTATGGAACATTTTTCTGTTCGAAACTAATATTTTTTATCATTCCCTAGTTATTCATTCACTCATTCACGAGTTTACAGTTCTCATTCAATTTGTATTGAATTGGAAAATTATTTTTATCTTTGGTGAACATAGGACTAAATTAAATAAAAAATTACTCCAAAATACTGAAACAATTTAAAAATTAAAAACTTAAGAGTTACTGTTAACTTTAAGGTATTATAAAGTAACATACATTTTTAACATATTTTTTTTAGTTACCAGTGTCATCACAAAATATTTAAATAGTTAATTTAAAATTAATTTATTTGAGTATTAAAAACTTGTACTAAGTTATCATAGGCCCATTTTACATAATTACGAGTATGTACTTTGAAGTTGCATGTAAATAAACGCATATCTAATACATATGTTTTAAAAATATAAAATTTCAAGCGATTGGATAAATTGTGCATGCAATAAGTAAATATTTTTTGTTCTATTTATATCAATTCTATATATTATATTATTTAAGAATAACTTTTGAGATGTATAAATATATCGTAATAAAGAAAGGAATGTGGATATATGAAAAAAGTTTATAGTGTTGAATAAATTCATTATTTGTTCGTTATTTAAAATAGAATATAATTTTTGTCTATTAATGTTTTATAAAGTTTTTATACACCTTGGTATAGTTATTTAAATATCAGTATTTTTCCATGTATTTTCGACATTATTAATAAGAATCATTTGGCGCGAATGACGTGCTTTCGTTACAAAGTCCAGTGTCAAAATGAATAATGTCGTGTCACAAACGTCGACATTTTAGTAAGGCTAGTGTTGAGTCAATACACTGGCTCATTTTAGGATTTTCTTCCAAACAGTATATGTATTTTTTAAGTTTGATATATATCAAATAGTTTAAAATAAGATTTTTATATTATAAAATGCGATGAAAAAATTTAATTTTGTTTGATATAGGCCTAAAAATTATTTAATACTAACGATTTAATATTTTTTTAGCATATAATATAATGATATTAATACATTAATATGCTGAAATGACAATATTAAGACACAGCCAAGTTAAACTTTACCAACATACGAAAAATATTATATATTTATTAAGAATATTAATATTTTAACTTTAAAAATACTGATTTTTTTTTCTTCTAAGACAGAGCAGTAACATGAGTACATTTTGATTTTTTTCATATTATTTGTAAACATTTTTGTGGGCTTTTTAATTTGTAGAAATTAAGTATCCACTTAACAAATAATACATTTGCCGTATCTCGTAACTATTAATGATAAAATATTTTTTTAGTTTATTTTCCAATAAAATTTAAGTTTATAAACCTAGTTTAAGTGCCATCGATTTGCAAAGAGTTAATAATAATTTTTTTTTCAATAATAATTATACCTACTTTAATGACTGGGTTTTTAATTGCATTGCGGTGGGTGTCATTTTAAACCGTGGGTGGTCATTGCCAAAACGTAAGAAATGGTGGACAAAAATATATTTTTAAGAACGTTTGAGAAATGTAAACTGAAGGTAAGATATTTAGGCCTCCCTGACAACTAAGATAAGACTAATAATAATAGTAGTCACCGTTTTAGTACATTTCTCTTTAGTGTTTAGTCCAACTTGAGAATCTCATAATTTCCATAATTTTTTGTGAAAGTCATGTATTTTCATCTATCGATGTCGAATCACTAAGATATAATTTAATAGACCAATATGAGATTAAGCAATAATTAGATATAATCTTACAACTGTTTAGAAATCCAATAACTATCCTTGCTGAATAACCAGCATAACCAGCGTAATATGGTTAGTTATTTTGTAACGGTTGGAAATGACCTTGAACTGGTGAAAACATTAACATTGCATAAAATGATATTTACCATAGTATTGAAGTTTGTCTATGGCAGGAAGAAGTGCGGGAACTCGTTGTAGATGGCGCGCACGGCGGCGTGGTCGCGTCGCGCGGCGGGGGCGGCGGGGGCGGCGGGCGCGTCCTCGCACAGAATGCGCGCGAAGCAACGCAGCAGATCATCGCGCCGGTGTCTATGCGCGCCGTACTCCGTGTTGCGCACGATACCCTGCACCACGCGCAGGTACTCCCAACGTCGCTGGAATATATACTCATCTTGAGACCAGTTTACACTGATCCAGTCCAGCTGGAAGATCCAGCGACGGACTACTATAGGAATAATTAATTCCACACTGTGATAACTGCAGTACATTGCAGTGTCGATTTATTTATTTTTACAGTTAAAAACTAGCACTGGATTAGATCACTGGAATTGGATAAACTTGGCACTAACATAGCAGAGTCGCTGCGCAGAAGACGGAGCGAGCGTATTGATGTGTTTAAACCATTATAAAATAGAGTAAAAGTTCCCCACGGACAGGTACTTTATCCCTTCCCTCTTTTCCCTTATTAATACAGTCAGTCTAATACAGTCAAACCTAGATGATGGAGAGTTTAGGGGTCGAGATGCGATTCTCGCTAATGTAGATTTCTCACTAACCGTTCCCGCTAATAGAGAATTTATCAATGTTCGACTGTATCTAGTTTTCAGTATTTTTATAACTTACATTGTCTCCAGGAGAGAGGTCAGCGAGCTGTCGTACGATGATGTCGATGGCGACTTTCACGTCGTTTGTGTAGAAGTGCTCAGCAGTCTTCTTGCGACTGAAGAGGTCGATGACCAACTTGAGGACAGAATGTGGTGGTGCTGGCTCGTGGTCGAATATATGCACCGGGTCCTCTGCCATCGAAGGAATAATTTTAATTACAGAAGACGATGAATACATTGGTTTAAACCAACGATTAAGGTCGGTCACTATAATTATCTTTAAAAAATACAATATCTATATCTACATATAAAAGTCGTTTTAGTTAGTTATTTATAACGTAAGAATAAACCAATTTGGCTGAAAATTGGATATGGTTTGTTTTTAAATCTCGTTTCTTTTTTTAATTCCACGCGGATAGAGTCGCGGCTAGATGCTAGATACGTCTTATTACTGCAAATTAAATTAATTATGTGTTGAATGTAAATTCAAAGAAAGTATTAAGAACATACCTTCGCGATTTAACAATAAGAGTACTTTCTCGCAGAATGTCTTCGCATTATCTTGAGTTTCGAGCGCGTCCAGCAGAAGGTTCTCATGGGGATTGTCGAACTGCAGATTGTAGGCGAGGAGAAGAGTAAGGAAGAGATCCGGGATCTGCTCGTCTACATCCGTCTCCGGGGGGTTCTCGATCAGCTCTAGCAGGAATTGAGCAAATTCCACACCCAGTTGTTCTGTTAAAAAACACCAAATTAAAAAAAAACTCAAACTAGCTAAAGTCTAGTCTTATCTAGCTTATTTTGTCCAACAGACTAGTCTAACCTAACCTATCAAGTCCTCCTAGATATAGATGAGATTTCTAGCAATGAAATAAAAAAACTTTTCTGTTCGCAAAATTATACAGCATTGTTACCGAAGTGTGTGACGGGCAGTTTGTCTGCCATAGAGAGTAGCATAGAGAGGAGCAGGGCGGAGTGTGAGAGGCGGCTGAGCGCGCGCGGGTTGTCGCGCATGTCCCGCGCCAGCTCCGCCGGCAGCGCGGACAGCGCCAGTGTCGCCAGTGCAGTGCGTTCCAGTCCGCACATCACACCGAATGCCTAACCAATATATACATACACATTAACTAGCGGACCCGACAGACGTTGTCCTGTCTACACGTCTTTAATTTGAATAAATTAATATGAAGTTAATATTTAATGAAAATTGTGAATCTAAACCATTCCCAGATCTCCTTGAACACACACAAAAAATTTCATCAAAATCGGTCCAGTCGTTTGAGAGAAGTTCAGTGACATACACACAAGAAGAATTCACAGAAGAATTATATATATAAAGATATGCACAACTTTTAAAGTCTCGAGCTTAATCCATTGTCCTAAACTCATGATAGTGAGCTACGTTGTAATTTTTGGAGTTATCCAACATGATTATCTATATAGAAAATTTCAAAGCACTGAATAGAAGATTTTAGTAACTGTCGTCCGCGACTCTGTCCGCGCGGAATTAAACAAAAATCAATAAGTTACCTATGTGTTCTTCCAGACTATATTTTATATGTATTCCAAATCTCACAGAGCTCTGTTCAGCCATTCTGGAGATACGACACAACAAACATCTAACCTGCCATCCATCTAAACATTCGCATTTATAATATTAGTAAGATGACCAGTTGTCACCCACAAATTAATTTGTCATGTGACATTGTTTAGGATAAACTTTTTTATAACCCTATATTATTTAGTTGATCTTTGAACCTACAAAACGCTGTTTGAGATGAAACAATGAATTGGGTGAACTATAATTAGGTGATCTAATATAAAATATTTCTTACCTGAAGTAAAAGCTGTCGCAGTGGCCAACGAGTTTCCATCTGGTAGTACTGCACCAAGGTAGTCACATACGCATACCGGTGGCTGCTTAGCACGTGCTGGGAGATATTTATATCAGCATTCGACTGTAACACAAAAGATTAATTTACAAAGCTATTGTATAAAAACAATATTTTATTTGTCAAAACATAAATTAACATGTCAATTAATACAAAATTGGTATACTCTAGTTATAATCCGTTTGATTTCAACAACTAGATTCACACACGTTGTGATCCTTCTTGAGCTGTGTTTCCCAAACTTATTTTGTCTACTGCCCACTTTGAGAATAAATATTTTTTTACGCCCCCATATTTTCACATATTTAAAAACCACTATAACTTAAATTAAATTAATTAATTAATGTGACCTATATAAGTATATTAACGGAGAATTCTAAACGAAACTTTTATTATAACCCGCAATTTGAGACCTGCAGCGCCCACTAGGGGGCGTTATCGCCCACTTTGGGAAAGACTGTTCTTGAGGGTAAACAATCATGACATGGTGACTGTCACAATGCTTCTTTGTACACAAGGAAAGAAACTCTTCGAAAATAATATTTATCTTCGCATGTCTAGTATCACGTAGCGTGAGCATCTTACACACAACGTTAACTCGTCGAAGCGCGTCAATACACAGAACAAACACGAATTTACAAAATTTTCACCATCTTAAAAATCTGCATGATGCAACCTGCACATATCTGAGAAGAAATTCAAAGACATGTGTGAAGTCAACCAATCCGTACTGGGCCAGCGTGGTTGACTATGGCCTAGTCGCCCGTAAGTTAGGGTAGGCTCCGAGCCCCTCAGTGGGGACGTATAGTGAGTTGATGATGATTGTAAGCTTAAACACACAATTTAATACCTTACCATAACAGATATAAGTTCCAATAATTGTGTCTGTATGTCATGTGCATCGTCATGTAGAGCCCAGCCTCTTTGTTGGGCATCATTAGCGGCTTTAGAGAGGGCATTAAGCGCTGTCATCATTCGTAAAGCGTCTGGTGCAGCATCAATAGCATTCTTAGGACATGTTATGTTGCTGTTAGCTTCACGAAGTAATGCATCAATAATAGATCTTGCAGCGCCACCGGGAAGGAACTCCTGTTGAAAATACAAATGTAAAAATGTCTTTATGAATAACAAGAACAGATATTTTTAGTGTGATAGTATAAGTATCACCAACTGTTGCATAAATAAACTGGTTGGTTAAATTTAAAAACAATGAAATATGTAGATTTAAGAATAAATAGATTCACTAAAACTCACCCTTAATGATATAAGCACAGTTTCTACTGCAACTTTAGACATCTCATGACTCAATTGAGTTTCCTTACGTACTGCTTGTACAATTTCATAAATAGCATTTGGCTTAATGCTTTCGCTACTGTCCTGACTGTCATCCTGGTTGTCAGTGTCCGACGACAGCTGATTTGAAGTCTTTGGCACATTGTTTTTTTTCCGATCCTCCTCTACTTCTGAAATAATTGTAAATGATTTCTCTTTTCTCTTAATGGATTCACAAATATGAGCAATTTTTCTGTTAAATTATTTTTAGATGTATTAAAATATTTGAAATGAAAATAAGTGAATAAAGGAAAACCTTACTGTACCTTGTAATGTTTTGTCTATGGACTTTATTGGAGATTGTGGTGCATCATATTCTTCAGATACATGTTGTTGAGACACAACAGGCCTCAAGTCGAATGATGGAGACACACCATTAGGAGGAGTTGAATCATCCCAGCGTGGAGGTGGTTTAGGTGCTGGGGGCTTTTTAGATGCCGGTTTAACTAATAATTGAATTTGCTTCTTCTTTTCATTCAATCTAGCTAATGTCTCTTGTTTCTGTGATGATATTGTATGATTTTCATTAAGACTTTTAATGCAATCATTTAAGAACGCCAAAAAAAACTCTGGCTCTGCCTGTAACCAATAATT